TTCCATCCGACAAAAACGATTTTATTTTTTATTGAAGTCAAAAAAATCTTGGAGTATTTGTAGTTCGTTTTTTTTTCTATCCAATCATGGACAGAAATAACCGAAAAGGGGAAAAACAGAAAAATGGTTTAGTTCGAGTGTAAATCTGTGCGTCAAATGAGGTGCATTTGTAAAAATGTTTTACACCCACCCGACAACCAACTGCTATGCAATACTACTATCCGATTATCAATTTGTATTTAATGGTGAATGTAGTCTGACGCCATGACTAATATTTATCAATTAAGTTTCAGTGGGGGGTAGGGGGGTTTGGAAAAAAACTAAAGGAATTAAGTTTTTTATCCGACATCGATCTTTTGACGTCGTCCCTAACAATGTTTGGCGACTGTAGCAGTTAAAACTAGACCGACCACCACGCATTTTACATCGTGGTTATTATATATTATATAGTATTCTTTTCAAGTCCTCCCCAAATTATCAAGATTGTCGGTGTTTGTACTGAGATTGTGATACTGACGGATGTTGACGCAGATCTGGTTTGCTGTGAGCAATTGCCAGTTTCTCGGGCCCAGTGTTATTTTCACCTGACGTACAGTTACAGCATTGAAGCAATAAAAATACGTGATAAATGACACTCAACAACTAACATGATTACACAGATAAATGCAATCACTGTGATTTAGATCAGTACCTTGTCCATCCCGCTCAAACTGCAACGCGTTACCAATAAACGGTAGAGCGACGGGTCCTGGTATACGATTCACGAGTTGCCATAATTTAAAATAGCGGTACAGTGGATACACGAGGAAAGCGGCTACGACCAGTAACAACGAAATACCACCAACTATCGCCATCTCTGCCACCAAGATTAGTAATCGTGCTGCCACTGACAGTTCACGTTGACCTTCGTGTTGTGCACGGCCCCCTATCTTCATAGGAACAAAGTGTATTGACCCCCTATTATCCCTGGGAGAAACTACAGAACTCCAATCATAGTGCATACATACTCGTATTTTTTCCGACCCTTTCCCTCATCGTATCGTATTACATCCCTGGATGGGTGGTCATTAGAAACTCTAGGAACGAGAAAAGAAATCTAGACTGAAAAACAGGAAAATCTTATAACAGAACAAGCCATGCATGACACAGTCCCCGTTAGTTATCGAATTTAAGATATATAGTTTTGTTTATAGTAATATAGCTGGAACAGAAACATGTCAGAAATATGATTATGATGATTGTTTAATATTAAAATGATTGACATTTGTATCTGATCGCCAAACGAGTATAGAGAGATATTGCTCTGGAACAGCATTAATTAAAACAAAATCAACCATTTTTAATACATGTATAATGAATATATAAACATAACAAGTAACCTGTAGAATGCTGTGTGGGTAATATTTTTATATTGATTTTTGTTGCATTTGCAGCAAATAGTTACCAAACAATGAGAAATCTATAGGATTGGATATACCTCTCAGCTGGCTTCACATGCATAGTTCAAGACCGCCTAACCGGTGCTTATACCAGGATTTTGTTGCAGCACTGTGGTCTGTGGTTACAGCTTCGTTTTCCGAGTAATCACAAGAAATTGACATTACAATAGAAAATAAAAGACTGGCACTCCCATACAATTAATAGCAAGTGAAATTCCTGGAATTGAAACATAGATTTTGAAGTCACTGGTGTAGGCATTGAATAACTTCAAGTTGGCATAAAGACGAGGTAGTTTATTTAATCAGTGCAGAACTAGAGGTTGAAATTATAATTAAGTTCGTTGTCATATAATTTGTTTATTTAAATTTCTCCTGAATTCAAATAGAATACACTGGTGAAAGGATGTTTTTGAGGTGTGGTTACATTGTGTATGGAGTGGTAGGGTTGGGTGTCATATATTTTTTTCATTTTCAACTCTCATGAAATCACACAGAATTTCACTTAATTTATTTTCGATGAAAAGTTTTCAAGCATACGGTGTGAATCAAATTTTCACTGTGCTGTGTCAAGTCTCAATAGAGTATGAGGGAAATGGCATTTC